TAAGAAAATTTTCTTAAGAAAATTTTTCTTATTAAGAAAATTTTCTTGAGAAAAAATTCTTAAATTGAGAAAATATTTTCTTATTTTAAGAAAATTTTTTCTCAAATCAAGAAATTTTTTTTCTTATTAAGAAAATTTTCTTGTTATTCTCCCAAGAAAATATTTTCTTATTTCAAGAAAATTTTCTTAAAACAAGTTTTTTTTTTCTTAAAATAAGAAAATGATTTTTTGCTGTGTGGCTACGCTGGTCACTTCAACAGAAGCTGCTTTTCACGTGGGGCGTAGATAATTTATAATGTTACAAAAATATATAAAGTACAAAATCGCTAATAATGTTAATTAAGAACTACGAATACGAAATACATATTACAAAACAAATGGTACAATAGTCAAATGCTAATTTGTCAGACCAACAGAGGAAAAATTCCGCCTATTGAAGGAATTCAGAGATTCACTGTTTCTTACTTGTTCAGGAATGCTATTCCAGATTTTAACCCCCCTATATCGGAAACATTTCCTATTTCGGTTCAGCACCTGACAGCATTTAGGTTTTGTATAAACAGGCAGGACCCTGGGAACGAGGTTGACGGCAGGCTGATAAAGAAAGCAATAAACTTTACGTAATTTTATAAATGTCATTCACTTTTGAGAGGTCTGCCCAAGCAGCGAATAATTTTGAAGCAAAATATATTAGTGAAATTCATGCTTGAGAAGCAGGCACTTTAAGTTTGCAGCTATATTTACTTTTCATACTCAAATATTGTGTCGTTAATAAACTAGCAATGCCCAAAAGCGTATCATCAGTCCTATACAATGGCTGTCTTATTGAGCATTTGTGCGTTAATTTTCATGATCTCAAAAATACCACAAGGCGAATGTTCGATTAAGCAAGCTTTCTTTCTCATAAATGAACAAAAATACTTGGCAAATCATGCCATCGAAACAAAACAGGCAGAGAGCGAGTTACAGTGTAGTATGCATTGCGTTGGAGTTGGGTCATGTGCTTCAGTGAATTATAAAACCTCTGGAATCGGTAAAGGTCTATGTGAACTCAACAACAAGACGCTTCAAGAAATATCTGACCTTGATGAAAGTATGCAGAACCCTGAGTTCAACAATCTTTATATAATCAAAAAGGTAAGAAAATTACGAACATTGTTCTATAATGCGTGGATATATATTATAGTGAGATATAGTAGTGTGTTGTTCACCAGACTTGGTATTTCTAGATCTGCATCATGTTTTTAGATCTGCATCACCGTCATGACCTCGCAGTTTAACTCAACCTATAACAACTGTATTTCTTGAAAATCCAGGTTTCTTTCGCCTAATTTTACGATCATGCAATTTCAATCAAGCATGTAACTATATACATATCATATTCGTGTAAGGTGGATTTTTTAGCAAAAATGTTCCGAATGGACCATTGCCCCCAATTAACCAAAATTTTGATCTCAACAAGCCTAGACAAAATTCCATCATAGCATGAAAGAGCATCACAAAATTAGTAATATTCCAAAGTTCGTTGCGAAATGTTGTAAAATGCGGATAATATAGCCTTGCGAAATTTGCAATTTTCAGTCATTTCAGATTACAAACGGGAAATGATTGTACTTTTCCAAAATTTTGATCTTAACTAGCCTAAACAAAAATTTCATCACAGCTTGAAAGAGCATCACAAAATTAGCAATGTTCCAAAGTTTCGTTGCATGCAAAATGTTGTAAAATGCGGATAATATTAATATAGCCTTGCGAAGTTTGTATTTTTCAGTCATTTTGTATTACGCACAGAAGTAACCATTTCCCGTTTAAAATCTAAAATGACTGAAAATTGCAAACTTCTCAAGGCTATATTATCCGCATTTTACATCATTTTGTAACGAAACTTTGGAATATTACTAATTTTGTAATGCTCTTTCAAGCTGTGGTGAAATTTTTGTCCAGACTTGTTGAGTTCAAAATTTTGGTTAATTGGGGATTGGTCCATTAAACCAACTAAAAGATCTATTTAGTATTTTGCTTGTATATTTCAGAATTTCGATAAGAAATTCTGTCTCAGGGATATATTTCTTCATTTAAATGAATCTATATTACTGTGCTAAGTAAAATGATCATGATTATCTTGATATTAAACATTTTTGTCTTTATAACACCGAACGCAAATGTAGCTGTATAGTTGTCTTAACGAAAACATTTATTGCTTAAACCTTAATTATAGCATACAAAGCATGACGTTTCAAAAATTAGATATAATTTATATGTTTGTCTTGTTAAGTAACACAATTTATTATATAGTAGAGAGTGAAAATTATTAGTGAGATACTGAAAATTTCCCAGTGAGACATTTTCCATATCTTCACTATAGTTCAGGCTGATAGTTCATAATTTCCACTCTTAAATCCATCTGACCGAGTAGCACAGTTGGTAGAGCGTCGACATAGAATAAGAAATGAATAGAAGGGCAACTAGAGTCGGAACCATTGAAGTTTTTGAAGCCGCGCATGTCGCCTCGCGCATACCGGAAATTGCACGCTCTAATTACTCGCAGCCAGTAAAGCCAGTCAATTTATTAGATATTTGTATGCAGAAATAGAATGGCCATTTGGCTGAATAAATCGACTATTTTTCGCAAACGAACGATTCAAATTACAAACCACGGCCGCTGGTTGTAATTTGAAGGTTAGTGAATACATATCTGTTGGTTATGAGCTGTTAAAGAATTGCTAAATGCGAAATTTAAACGTATTGAATACATGTTGTTTACATGTTGTTTACTTACTTAAGTATAAAGTACAGTATATTAAGTTATTAACATATGATAGTTTGGTTTAGCCTATTTATTGGAAAAATTCGATGTCTTCGAAGTAATATTGTAGTAATAGGAATGAATGTTAATTCATAATCATGATATTTTAATTACATAAATTAATAACATCATTTCCTGATATTGTTTGTATTTGTAGTTCAACTTGTCAGACACAGACAGACAACTTCCCACACGAAATAAATTTGATTAATTGCTTGCGACTTTGAAATTTATACTTTTTAAAATAAAATTTGATGCAATCCAAAACCTGTCCTGATAAGATTTGATTCACAATGTACCTCACACAACAATATCAAATTTCTCCCTAAATATTCGTTTCTTTCTATGCTAGCCACAATATATAATAATTTAGGATAATAATTTAGGCTTACATTGCCTCTCCATACTTCGGTATATCGAGCACTCTACTCATATATGATTCTAAATACTAATTGGTATATATATATATGTATATATATATATATATATATATATATATATATATATATATATAAAAAACGTAAAAAAAATAATGAATTAGTGAAAAAAATAATGAATTAGTGAAATAGTGAATTAGTTTCAAACGTAATGAATTAGTGTCTTCGTGCAGACATGCGAAAAAATTTCTTTTAGCTAACATTTAAAGGGCATGCACTCGAGACAGACATATTTTTGTTTTAAATATACCGCGCAATCTTAATAGCTTGGCGTTATGCTGATGTGTTGTTAATACTTCCGCGTCCTGTCAATTTTATCAAGTAACAAAATAATTGCTTTGCGTGCTTTGTAAATAGGATTAATTTAAAGCTTTCATCCACTTGTACATAAATACTGTAGGTTTTTTGCTGTAGTCATTAGGCTAATTTATCTGATGAGTGCCACATCTTGTGGTACGAAACTAATAGTAATAAAGATGCCTAGTGGAATTTGTTGAGTCGTTGCACTTATTTAATTATGCTCTGGATATCCATTGAACACTCTGCCAAATGTTTTTGTAAACAACGAAACCTAATGCTATATATATATATATATATATATATATATATATATATATATATATATATATATATATATATATATATATATATATATATATA